CTTCTCTAGTTCTTTCAATTGTGATGTTAGAGTGTCAATTTTAGATCTTTCCAGCTTTCTCTTGTGGGCATTTAGTGCTATAAATTTCTCTCTACACACTGCTTTAAATGTGTCCCAGAGATTCTGATATGTTATGTCTTTAATGTCCTTATTTTTTAAAAGAAGACTTAAAAGTCAACAGGAAAAACATCAATATTGAAACAGAGAAATGGATAGAGTACATAATATAAATACAACTAGTAAATCTTTTCAAATTGTTCATCTTCACTAGGAATGAAAAAATATATATAAATTAAAATCGGATTGATTTTCCATACCACATTCGCAAAGTGAGCACAGATGCAATGATATTGGAACTCTCATTCTGTTGGAATAAATGTGAATGTACTGAAACATTTTGTAAAACAATTTGAATGCATATATCAAGAACCTTAACAACATCTGTGTCCTTTGTCCTATTAATACTCTTCTAGAAATTTCTCCTAAGACACAAATTTATAAAAGTACAAATTTATATGCAAAATGCAGAAGTACCCATAATAGTAGCTTATAGTGATTGAACACTTCTCTGTCACCACGTTTTTAACAGAGTGCTTTACCTGCATTGTCTTATTTAACCCGTATGAGGCTGGTACTATTATCCTTCATTTAAAATGACTCATTTTAAATCCTCCCAGAGCATCAAATAGAGAGGAAGGATTTAAAAATAGATAGAATCAGCTCCTCTTCTTAATTATATAATATAAATTTTGCAAGGTGTTAAGGATTCATTCTACTGCTTATTTATATGTATTAATAACACCAGACACAATAATTGCACGTACTTTGAAATTTATTGCAAGTCACTTAAGTTTTATCATGGGTATATTCAGAACTGTCTAGACTGAAAGATGGCACTAGGTAATTTGAGTCGTTTTCATTTCTTTTTTGATATAGGCTTATCCATATAAAAAAAATCAAATCTGGAAAGAAGCAAGAATTGACATTCCTCCTCTTTTGAGAGGTTTAACCTGGGCTGCTCTTCTGGGAGTTGAGGTAAGGAAAAAAGAAAAGGTTAGAAGCTGATTAATTATGCTAAGAAAAGATGAAGAAGGAGAGTGCTTTCCAAATATGTATTTTTCCAGTTACTAGAAAATTATATAGTAAAATATAAGCATTAGAATATTTGGCAATTTTAAGTGGAAGGAACATAGGAAAACAATAGAAAAGAAAAATATAATTGAGGGTTTATTAGATTGTGCTATTTAATATTTCATTTAATGGTGGTCACAGAAAATGTTTTGATTATTACCAAGGAATATTTTAAGAATATATGTCAGTTACAAGTGGGTAGTCCTGCTTATGAAGTATGCTTATTATAGAATATGATTATCTGTTTATAAATGGTTCTAAATTTGGAGAAATCTTTCAATCTAATCTGACATGTCAAAATCACTAACATAATTTAGTGGCTTTTGGCACACCTGTTCCACCTGGAATGTGCTACCAAGAGAAATAGCTCCCATGTCTTCTATAACACTTTCTCTGTGATTGTGAGGAAGGGAGAGGTGTCACAAATTGTGGTGGTCTGCAATACTAACAGAGAACTCCGATGACATCAATCATGACAACGGGCCAACTTCTAGCCAGATTTTTTTCATTTCTTGTCAATTTCTTTGTCATCTTGTCGTCTTATATTCTCTTTTAGATAATTATCCTTCCTTTTTAAGAATTCCAGTCAGGAATGGTGGCACATGCCTGTGGTCCCAGCTTCTTGGAAAGCTGAGGCAGGAGGGTTACTTGAGCCCAGGAGTTCGAGGCTTCAATGAACCTTGATTGTGCCACTGCACTCTACCCTGGATGATAGAACTAAACCCTGTCTCTAAAAAAAATATTTAAAAAAAATCCTCAACTATTTTTAATCCTTTTCAATTCTCTGTTTGAAGAATTTCCTTTCTTCATTCCTGATTCCCTTGATAAGAGTCTGCAAATACCTTTGAGTTTGGTTGGTTACTTTACAAGAATGCCAGTGGTTCAATATCATACAGTAATCATTAGACTTGTAGAACAATATAATGCTAAAGTCCAAGAGGACTTCAGGTATCAGGTTTTCCAACTCTCATTAAATGAATGTCTCAAAGAAGTTGATATAGCAGATATTGGAGTTTGAACCCTACTTCCTGGCTCTTTCTCTACCATGATAATAAGCCAGAATAATGTTATTTTTTTCATGCTTGGTCCTATAGAACATGACCAAAATTTGTAGTCATTTATTCAGTTATTTTTAATTTTTAACAGTGTGTAACTGAAAATTGTAAATGACCTCTTTAGGCCCTAATGATTCTATCATGTAATTATAGACATAACATAACAAGGTTGTGTTATGTTGTAGGGGCTGGGAGGTCAGCCAAACATACTTACTAGCTAAGTAATTAATCCACAACATTCATGTTGTGGTATTTATAATTCAAGAGTTTGCCTCAGCATAATGGCAAATTGTGACTTATCAGAGACTTTCATCATAGATTGTCAAAGACACAGAAAATTTCTCTTAAGATGAGTTCTACACTGCGTTTGAATGTGCTTATCTGTAGTTGGGTAGGTTTCCAAAGATAGATATTTGTAAAAAATAGATTTTTCTATATTACTAGTTGTATTAAGGATATGATAAACTAATATATCTTCTTTTATTTTTTGCAGGGAGCTATTCATGCCAAGTACGATGCAATTGATAAAGACACTCCAATTCCTACAGATAGACAAGTATGATTTAGATTTTCTTAAGCAACCTAAGATAATTCTGTCAAATATTTAAATTTTAGGAAGGAGCCTGAAGAAAGCCTCTTTCTCTCATGAATACAGACACACTGCTGCATACATACATTGTTAGAGAAGCCATAACTCTTATGCTTATAACTTAGAACAATACCTTAAAGGACTTTAAGGTCAAGTTACCTTTTTAAAAATACTATAGTTCTTCATCTGAAAAATTTGCCCTTCATTTGGACCAGACTATAAAGGAAAATATTTTTTAAAAGTATATTAACACATACCTTTCAAAAGAAATGGTCTGATTCTCCTGTTTAAGTATACATACAACATCTTTAGTGTTTCCATAAGATCAATTAAAAAATTCAAAAAATTAGGCACTTAAGAAGTTGGTCTGTTTTGAAATTTGTATTATGGCTTCTCCTTTTCCTTATTTAATGAATAAAGATTAAGGGTTTATTGCTGATTACACAATTACTGTTTCACCTTATTATTTTGCTATTTTAACAGATTGAAGTGGATATTCCTCGCTGTCATCAGTATGATGAACTGTTATCATCACCAGAAGGTCATGCAAAATTTAGGCGTGTATTAAAAGCCTGGGTAGTGTCTCATCCTGATCTTGTGTATTGGCAAGGTAACTTTTATAGTCATTAAAACTCCTCTGTAGTATTAGGAGATTGTTGCATAACTGACATTTTAAAAAAATTAAAATATCTAAACATCCTTGTCTTCGGAAAAAGTCAATATTGAAGCTCTGATTCATTTTTTGAGAGGTTTACATCCAAGCATTTTTTTAAATCTTTGTCTAAATCCTAGTAGATATCATTTAAAAACATAATATTTAATATGCAAGTTGATTAGCAAAGCAGAAAGGTATTTGGAGCTGTTATCATCTTTGTGGATACATTTTTTAAACGCCTATGCACACTGTTAAATCAGTTGGGGCTAGTTGAGATTCTTATAGTTAATGATTTCTAATTTATACTTACCATGGCTATTAGGACTTAAAAATAGGCTCTCATCCTAAAGTCCTCATTTTATTTGTCTTTTTTCCCCTTGTATCTTTAATGGTTCATATCTTTTATTTTTAGCTTTGCCATTATTATTTTTGTGTTTGATAAAGAATGAGAAACCCATTCCAACCCTATTTTTGAATGTGTTGTTATAAGCGGCTATTTTTATATTTCAGTTCTCTATTTCTTACTGGCCATAGTTTAAATAAAGGTATTATTTTTCTTAGCTCTGTGTATTTCAGAGCTATTCTATATCCTCCTAACAGTTGTAGGTAGATTTATGTACATTCTTTCAACATGACAATACATGCACATCATTATTATCAATAAAAGAAATGTCATATATTTGGAATTCACTTCACAATTTTTAAAGAATTTTTTTTCATTATCCCAAAGAAAAAGAACATAGGTGAAACTCCATTTCCTAGACGAGAAAGTATGTCAGAAGATATTAAGTAATTGCCAGAATTGTACACTTAGGGTCAGAGATGGGACAATATCCAAAGAATTGTAACTTTCTTCCATTTTTCTATTATTGTATTTCTCTTTTCGACTCATAATAATCTGGATAATAATAATAGCTGATTCATATTGGACACATACTGTGTGCTACACTATCACTTAATCCCCACAGTAAATCGTGAGGTGACATATTTCTGGATGGATAATACTTCTAATGTTTAATCTACTTGGAGGTAATGCAAAGAACTGAATAAGATATATATCTTCAATTCTACTAGATTATATTTATTAGATTTCTTTCTCCCAACCCCTCTGCATTAGGTCTTGACTCACTCTGTGCTCCATTCCTGTATCTAAACTTCAATAATGAAGGTAAGCCTCTTTATCATTTAAATAATCATTGCACATAATATTCTAAAATATGTAATTCAGACATGAAAGGTTTTTGTTTTTGTTTTAAGGTTCTTTTTCTCTTCCTGGTAGATTTCTGTGAAATAATCTATTATAGACTCATTTGAGAGATGTGAAGGATTAATTTATTACTGGAGAGTTTCATTTATGCTAAAGATATTACTAGAAATTTAGTGGAATTTGATTATTCTAAATTCCTTAGAGATTAATTTTTGTCTAAGTATACTTTCTAAAGAATTTTTAAAGAAATCAATTATGGCAGCACTTTTCCATAATCTTGTATCTCCAAAGCCTATAATCATTTTGGATACCTCTTCCTTAATGAAGACTTTTCTTATTCTCCTTCTTGAGCTCATAAAGCACTTTGTATTTATAAAAATTTATCTTGTGTCTGTCTTGTATTCTAATACTTATATACTAATGTAATATTTTTTGACAGCCCTTTTTCAATGGCAGGTTTTTTTTCCCTGCCTTTCTGCAATAACTTTATTATTGTAGGCTTTTCAATAAATACTAAATTCGAATAACTCCAATCCCTGAAATCACATGTAGAGTGTGTTACTATATATAGCTTGAATGTCTAGATGCCTTATCTGACCATCTCCCTATTTTCAGATTCTATCTATTTCATGACCAAATTTGCATCAATTTCTGGAATTAAGTAGAAATAGCATAATCCCAGAGAAATGAAATTTTACTCTTTGAATTATTTTTAAAATACTCTGTTCTCTGATATTCTCACTCATTAATCTAAACTAGAGTTTTTTACTATGTTTAATTAGGCATAGCCAATTATCACTCATACTGACCCAAGCGTAGTCAGGGGTCTGTGTTTGAAAATGTGAATTATAACACTATTCCTAAATCCAAAGTTCGTAGATTCTTGTTTGCATCAGCAGCAATTAAGGATCGTGAGGTCTGTATAACTTACTAGTAATGATCATGCTTAGAAATTTTAAGAAACAACGTTTAGGTAATAAAAGTTTTGATTATTGTGTGATAATGATTGTCACAGTAGTTTAAAATTTAAGTTATAGAATTATTATTTTCTGTTGTCTAAAATGTTTTCTATTTTAAAGCATAGAGACTTTTATCTCTCAATTTTGTTTTTCTAGCACTTGCTATCATAACTGTTATTTAATAGTAGATTCAAGGAATATGTGCTAAGTGAATGCATTACAGCTGGTCATCTACCCTGTTAACTAATTTTTTACATGCCTTTGCCTTATTCTCTTTTAGCCTTGGCTTATGCATGTATGTCTGCTTTTATTCCCAAATATCTGTATAACTTCTTCTTAAAAGACAACTCACATGTAATACAAGGTAAGCAAATGTCTTTCCGTGACTTTCTGCAGGGAAACTGCTGATGTACTGGTGTGTTGATGTAATATTTGATTAAATTTAAGATTTTGACCCTCAAAATATGATGGTCCATCCAATAAAATCCATAAAGAGAAATTAGAAAGTTCGGTCTTTCCTCCAAATCCACAAAGAATTATGGTATTTTTCTAATGGATATTTGATATCTGATTTCATTTCAGTTCAAATGCAGGCATGCTAGTTTGAGAAAATAAGAGACTGCCATTTATGTCTCTCACAATCAAAATTGCTCACAAAAAGCTTCACCATGGAGCAAGTCCACTGTAAATTAGTAAAAAGTTTAAATGTTTAATTGTGTAATCGGAGTATTAAAAATACTTTTCATTTATCTCACTTCCCATGCATGCATACCCAAAATATATTCCCTCTTTCTTCAACTTACCTAAAGTATACCTCCTTCTTAAGAGTTCACGTCATAGCGTAACCTATTTTTGATTTCATTCAGGACAACTTTAGCCACATTCAAACTTCTATTATAATTTCCTGAACTCTTTTTTGGAAGTAATATAATAGAAGTTAAAAATACCCACATTTAGATAGAAAAAATAATCCTAAAATTTATGTGGACCCACAAAAGATCTAGAATAGCCAAAGCTGTCCTGAGCTAAAAGAACAAAACTGGAGGAATCACATTATCTGACTTCAAATTATACTACAGAGCTATAGTAACTGAAACAAAATGGTACTGGCATAAAAGCAGACACATAGACCAATAGAACAGAATAGAAAACGCAGAAGCAAATCTGTACACTTACAGTGAACACATTTTCGACAAAGGTGTCAATAACATTCACTGTTCTTGAAGTTTCTTCAACAAATCGTTCTGAGGAAATTAGATCTTCATATGCAGAAGAATGAAACTAGACCTTTATCTGTCTAGTTACATAAAAATCTGTCTAGTTACATAAAAATCAAATCAAAATGGATTAAAGTCTCAAATCTAAGACCTCAAATTATGGTACTATAAGAAAACATTGGGGAAACTCTCCAGGACATTAGTCCGGGCAAAGATATCTTGAGTAATATCCCATAAACAGAGGCAAACAAAGCAAAAATGGACAAATGAGATCACATCAAGTTAAAAACCTTCTGAACAGCAAAGGAGACAATCAACAAAGTTAGGAGACAACTCACAGAATGGGAGAAAATATTTGAAAACTACCCACCTGATAAGGGATTAATGGCCAGAATATATAAGAAGCTCAAATAACTCTGTAGAAAAAAATCTAATAATCTGATTTTAAAAAGGGCAACAGATTTCATTACACATTTCTCAAAAGAAGACATATACATGGCAAACAGGATTCTGAAGAGGTGTTCAATATCATTGATGATCAGCGAAATTCAAGTCAAAACTACATGAGATATCATGTCACTCCAGTTAAAATGGCTTTTATCCACAAGATAGGCAATAACACGCTGGTGAGGATGTGGAGAAAAAGGAACCCTCATATGCCGTTGGTGGTAATGTATGTTAGTATAACCACTGTGGAGAACAGTTTAGAGGTTCTTCAATAAACTGAAAGTAAACCTACCATATGATCCAGCAATCCTACTGCTAGGTATATACCCAAAAGAAAGGAAATCAGTATCAAAGAGATATCTACACTCCCATGTTTACTGCAGCACCATTCATGATAGCCAAGACTTTGAAGCAACCTAAGTGTTCATCAACAGACAAGTGGATAAAGAAAATGTGGCACTTAATACACAATGGAGTACTATTCAGCCTTAAGAAAAAATGATATCCTGTCATTTTCAACAACATGGATGGAACTAGAGGTCATTATGTTAAATGATATAAGCCAGGCACAAAAAGACAGGCTTCATATGTTCTCACTTATTTGTAGGATCTGAAAATCAAAACATTTGAACTCATGCAGATGGAGAGTAGAATGACGGTTACCACAAGCTGGGAAGGGTAGTGGAGGGTAGAAGTTGGAGGATACACATTGTGAATGAGTAAAAAAAAATAACCGAAAGAATAAATAAGACCTAGTATTTGCTAGCACAACAGGGTGATTGTAGTTAATAATAATTTAATTGTACATTTTAAAATAACTAAGAGTATATAATTGGATTTTTTTAACGCAAAAGAAAAATACTTGAGGTGATGGATACTTCATTTTCCCTGAATGGGTTTATTATGCATTGCATGTCAGTATCAGTGTATCCCATTTACCCCATAAATATATACACGTACTATGTACCCACAAAAATTGAAAACAAAATAAAACAAGAAAACCCACACTTTTAAAACAGGTAAGTGTTTCAAATTTAAGTTTCACTACTTATTGGATAATCTTGGACAAATAATTTAACTTCTATAGGTAACATTTTTCTCATGTCTAGAATAAAAATATTGTAGAGGTTAAGCATAATATATAAATTCCTGGTACATACATATTCAATAAGTGCTATTATTTATTTCTTTATATTACTGTTACTATGAGTACTAGTTTTTGCTAGTGTTATCATTATGGCATTATGTACTGTTTTATATCCTTTCAACAAGATTCTGTATATTTTAAGGCCAGGGGATTTTCTTATAGTTTTTCTGTTCTTTTAGAGCAGACTACAAAGCTGCTCACTCTCCCATTTACTGTTTTTATGATGCTTATCAGATATCCCTTTGATCTTGTTTTTAACTATGTATAATTCTTCCTGCTTTATTTTAAACAACTTGAAACTGATTCTGTGTTATACATATCATTATGGTTTTATATAATTCACCCAGTTTTCATAAATGAATTAGGAGTACTGGATGTTGTATCTGATTTATCAAAAATTCTGAGTAAGTGGGATCTCAATTAGTAATAATTTTACTTGGTTAGAAATGAATATAAAATTAGAGTATCAGAGGTTGATATAATGGGAGAATAATTAGAAAGGAAGCAGAAAGGAAAATGTAAACTCAAAAAAGTAAAGCTAAAAGTAGAAGGAACAGAATATGGATAAATAGCTTCGCACATAAAAACATTTGTTCTTTCAGCATCATGTACCTTGAGGTTTAAAGAAAAAGAATTAAAACTTTTTGAAAATTTTGTGTTTACAAGCAAATTGAATCATGTGTTCATTCCTGTATATCTGTGTCTACAGTGTAGATAGGTGTTAGAAATGGAAATAATGATCCATTGTCTCTATGTTAATTTTGAAATGCAAACTCCATTGGCTTTTGTATTTTGAAATGGTATGGTTTGACATAGATGTGCCCAATTCTGCACATTTTCTACAGTGTGGACTTGTATGAAGTTGAGATTAATTTGAGAACGATTTTTAGAAGGTACAGCTTTTTGCTTTGACTTTTTCTAATTAAGGAGGAGTGCATTTTGTAGTGGAAGTTGTTTTTTGCTTATAGATTACCTTAATAAGGCCATTGACTGCAAGGACCCTGTTATACCTTCTTCATAGTTTATGAAGTAATGTTCCATAAGGTTGTATCCTGTACCTTATTAAGAAGGATGTGCCTCATTCTTAATAATAGCTTCCTTCTTACCCTTATTAGTGATGTTTATTATAGAATTAATAGTGTACTCTCTCAGATTTCAGTTAATAGAAAAATGAGTGGATTTAATAAAACCTTGGGTAATATCACAAGATTTTAGAAGCTATGCAATATAAATAATCTGTCAAATAGTGACCAAAGACAAACTGAGAAGATTAAAAGTAAAAAATAATCAGGTTAGTATTTGTGCTGTATAAAAAGAAATTTAATCATCATCAGCTAAATATATCAGCAATATAAGGCTGTTAGTTTCAAAGCTAACATGAAATTGTAATGTTTACTAAACTTTCCAAATATAAAAGCTCAATTAATATACAATGTTGGGCTAAATTTCTCTATAAAGATGAAAAATTGGGGAATCCTCAAATAAGCAATAAAAACAGGTCTTATAACATGAACTGATTAGACTGTTTCTTAGATGGTTGGCTGATACCTGGCTAGATGGCCAGCTCTTAAGACCATATGAGACATCTTATTTTATTTTTCCACTGTTTCATTATCTCAGATACATACATTGTATATTAATAATGAATTTCCAATACGAAAAAGACAAATTTCCGCACTTCCTAATTACAGACTTTTTTAACATACTTTTTTGATACAAGGTCTGGCTCTATTACCCGGGTTAGAGTGCCGTGGCACAATCTCAGCTCACTGCAACCTCCACCTCCTGTGCTCAAGCCACCTTTCCACCTCAGCCTCCTGAGTAGCTGAGACTGCAGGCATGCACCACCATATCTGGCTAATTTTTGTATTTTTTTGTAGAGACCGTTTGACCATGTTGCCCAGGCTGATCTCAAACTCATGAGCTCAAGCCATTCGCTCACCTCTGCCTCCCAAAGTGCTGGAATTACAGTCGTGAGCCACTGCGCCCAGCCTTAACATGCTTTTAAAAGGCATACTATACAGATATGCAAGACAATCTCTTGTTTAATTTATTAAATTAGAGACTATAGTGTATACAACATGAATTTGGAGAGACTTATAAGAAAGGCCAAAACACCTGGGTGCGGTGGCTCACGCCTGTAATCCCAGCACTTTGGGAGGCCGAGGTGGGTAGATTGCGAGGTCAGGAGTTCAAGACTAGCCTGGCCAACACAGTGAAACCCTGTCTCTACTAAAAATACAAAAATTAGCCAGGCATGGTGGCAGGCACCTGTAATCCCAGCTATTTGGGAGGCTGAGGCAGGAGAATTGCTTGAACCTGGGAGATGGAGGTTGCAGTGAGCTGAGATTGTGCCACTGCACTCCAGCCTAGGCGGCAGAGTGAGACTCCATATCAAAAAAAAAAAAAAGACAAAAAAGACTGTTCTTTAGTTTGATCAATTTATCAGTAATACATTTTAACATCCAACATTATAATTAAAAGACCTCTCAACAATTATTGATTGCTTGTTTCTCTAATTATTAATAATTTCCTCAATTATGATTTCTATAA